GGGAAAGAAAGTGAAGGAAGAGGGGCTGGAGAGTAGGGTGGGAGACAGGAGATGGACTGATGTATGAATAGGCCAACACTTTCTCTTTTTTCACTTAAAAGAACTTGTATATCATCTAATTTCCACTCATTCCTGTCAAAATAAGTAGACATCCTTTCCAGGAACCAACATTTTCTGCCTTCCTACTTTCACTACCTGCTTAAGTTGGCTCTATGTTTTGCACAGGTCCAGTCGGGAAACGATCATTTACCTGGTGGCTTCATCTTGGTCATACCTTACCAAAGAGTCTGAAGATTTGTTAACAGTTCAGGCCATGCTGAGGATACCCCAAGAGGCCCAGGTGTGGAGGCACAGAGGGTAAGGTGCTGCTGTGTGACACGGGAGCCACCGAGGCCAAGTGTGGATTGTGGGTCAACCTGTACATACTGGTGTCCCCCACCCCTCATCACCCCATATGTGCCCATGATCTTAGCTGGCTAGGAGGCCCAGGGAAGGGCAAAGGTGAGGAAAGATCCTTTTAAGAGTCCCTCTTCCTCTCCCTCCCTCACTCTCTTTCTCAGTAAATAAGTAAATTAAACTTTAAAAAAAAAAATCCTCTACCATCATCCTGTTGACATGCAATGGTTCCCATCTAGGAGCAGCTGTATGTATTCTTTCTGTTTCTGATAGGCCAGTTCTTTGATCTGGGGTGTGTGTGTGATAGGAACTGAACCCTGACTGACGTGCATCAATTCTGTCTTTTACTTCCCTCTACATATTACGTACTGGGGTAGGTAATACTTGTAATTCAGTTCTGTAGTTGCAAATCTCCACTCATCTTGTATCATCCATATAATCTATGGTTTCTCTGCTCACATTTCCCAGATGATTTATAATTAGCCTTGTACCACCATGGTGTGAAATTAAAAAAAAAAAAAAAAAAAAAGTGTGCTGACCAATGTTAGGAGCATGGCAGAATATAGAAGCTTTGAAATGAGAACACTGCCCTCTTTTAGGAAACAAAAGCAAGGACATTAATCAAGTCATTTCTACATGAGTGAAAGCTTCCTGCAATAGTTCTAGGGAAAGTGGCTTCAAGGAGTGTTTAGGAGTGGCTCCTAACAGAGCCACAGAGGAAAGTGTGTATCCAATTCTCTCTCCAGGGGAAATCTGCTGGGGCCTCTCAGTCCCTGAGAGGAAGGGGACATCTAATCTTCTTAAGTTGATAAGCAAATCTTTTTTTTTTGAAAGTGAGAGATTATTTTTTTCTTTTGGTAGAGGATTTTGCTATAGGGTATGTACGCTTGCCAGAGAGACAGAGAAATAGAAAGTGAGAAATCAACCCCTGGAGGGATGGCCATGCCACAGTCCCTTCTCCTCCATTCTCCTCTCGGGATCTTGGGTACACACACACATGTGACCAGGATGAGTTTAAGCCACCGGGTCCGGGACTCAAACAGTGGTTGACTACGTGGGAGTCCAGTGGCATAGCCATTATGCCAACTGCTGATTCCAAGATGATGAGCAAATCTAAACCATAGGTGAAATGTAAACATGCCTTTTTGTAGAGATTTGATTCTTGTTTTCAAGTTTTGACGCAGGGCAGTTGATAGAAACAATGGTGAGTATTAAAAAAAAATTTCTGAATCATTAAGTGGCCTAATAAACCCAGGAGAACATTTTTGTTTCTGAAGTAAATATTTAAAAACTACTTTTGAGAGAAAGAATTAACTGGGTGTGCCTCCTTCAGCTGTCCTGTAATTTCAATCACATTCAGTTTTTGTTATATATTTATAAAAATATAAATCTAACTGAATTACTTTAAAAAGGATCACAGTTTGTGAGAAATGCTCCATAAAACGGTAGATCGCTTTCAATAAAAACAAAATATGGTTTAATGGTTTACACAGAAGTTAGTTATAGATTCAATGGCCCTTAATCCTAACTCTGGAAGGCACTTGAGAAATGACACACTGAGATAAAAAGGTAGGTCACCCTGGTCTTTCTATAGGGCTAATCAATATCTCAACTTAGAACTCCAACCAGAAGAGTTTCCGATGGATATGGATCGAGGGCTGAACTTCTCCGGATACTCTGAAGGAATGGGATAACCCCATTCTTTGAGAGGACATGAATGAGTCTTGATTAGCTAAGGTTCCTACAAGGCTTGTAATTCTGCACTTGGGGCAGAAATGGTTACACAGCCATGAGCTATTAGGGTCATAAGACGCTTGAAAAGCTAGAAGAGCACACTCTCTCTTGGTTGCAAAACTATTGCTGGCTTTGATGTTTAGTTGTCAGCCTCAGACTGTATCTGCCCTACTCTGCTTGGCCTGAGACGCTCTT